TATTTGGTTAATTGCAAGGTTTGTTGTTTGCGTAAGAGTGAAGTGGGTTGAGGCTAAGATTGCACAGGGATGTGCGTGCGATGTGCTTTAGAGGTCATAAGTCTAATAGACATTTTTTTGCACTGTGATATGGCTAGGAGACTTTGGAACCACATTTTTGACATGTTTGGTGTTTCCTTTAGTAGGTTTGTTGGGCTGGATACTAATGGTTTCTCCCTCTAATCTTGAGGGGTTTCGTTTTTACTCTTGGAGGTCTTAGGAGGAGGATGGTGGTCAAATTTCTCAATATGAGGCTCATTTTATAGGTTGTGAGTGTAACGGTTGGAGAGAAATACTTACTCTTCTGGCACCATTTCTCTCCTTGTATAATAACGTTTCTTTTTCTATGGTAACTTTATCCATAACAAGCTTTCACTAATGGAAGTTTTAACTATAGGGGAAGTGTTAGGGAATATGAATATTTCTTATATAGCTCCAAAGAGAATAATAAGATAATTCCCTGTCATCTTTTCTTAAGTTAATGTCCTGTATAGGTAGGATCCACTACAGTCAATATTCTTTTTAGTTAGATTCTCTTCTTTGTTTATTTTCCTAATTTATGAGTATCTCTATAGATACATATATTACTTTTTTAATATAACTAGAAGAATGATGTTTCAGTTTATTTTTTTAGCATAAACATAATTTTAACTAAATTTACTATTGCAGAAGAAGTATTATTAGAGAACACAGAACTGATTCTTGAAGCCTTTGATTATTTGCAATTCCCTTTTGCCCTCAAGCAAGGTATGATATTTAGTTGAAATATATGTTTTGGTCCTTACGATATTTTATGATTAATGCTCTTGAATATTGTCTTCAATAGGCCGCGTTGGCAAATTGAGTATAAAAATCCCGTGGAAAAAGCTTGGCAGGGAACCCATCATTATCATACTAGAGGATGTTTTTATCTCTGCATCTCAGCGCAGTGAAGAAGAGGTGATTTCTGAGCTTGAAAGTTAATTACCTCTCTTCTTCAAGTCAAGTTGAGAAATGTGAAAGCATGTTTCTGCTCATCAGTGTCATATTAGCATAGTAACTTTGTTCTTGTTCTTATATTTTGACTATATATCTAAGTCTTACTTAACATGAGTGGTCCAGTCATGTTCTATAATTGTTAAAATACTCTCGTCAAAAAGGTAAATAAAGATCGAGCAAGTTCTGAAATCTCATCCGTTTTTCCTTGTTGTGGCAGTGGAGTTTGGATGCTGTTGAGAGAAGAGAGTTTGCTGGCAAAAAGGCGAAGCTTGCTGCTGCAGAGCTTGCAAAATTGTCGAGTCGCATGTGTGGTGAGCTATTTCAATTACACCTTGTTATACCCTTGATGAAATCAATGGTTGAATCTTTAATTAACTTAAGGGAAATATCAAAAGCAACCCTTGCATTCATGCAGTTCTAACAAATTGAATTGTGCACATTTGGTTGTATCATTGTGCACTCTATGCTTCTTTTATATAAAATCATTTCCATTTGAAATTTTTGTTAGTTTTGAACTCTTTGTACACAAGGTATTATCAGAAAATCAGAAATCGACATGTTTGCAAAGATATCTTTGTTTATAACTTATTAATGATTTAGAAGTACATGAACAAATTTCACGCTTGAGGATAAATTTGGGGGAGAGTAATCTTGCAAGAATTAGTTTCTTTTTTTTTTCTTTTTGTTTTGAAATAGTCTAGCAGGAATTAGTGTGGAGGATGCAATTGTCATGGGCCTATTGGAGTTAATAGGATGCACTAGGAGCTGGTGGCCTATTAATATAAAAGTTCCTTTGGAAAGATTCCAAGGAGCAAATTATTTTGGGAGGTGGTT